CCACAATTATTTGTACCTGATAGCCTCAACCACAACACATTGTATATGTAATATAAAGATATAATTTGCACTGAGAAAATTATAGAACCTTACAGACAGCACCCTCATCCCTCTATTTCTATTCTAAGATCAAACGTGACTCCACTTAGCACTGCAGTCGCTGAAGAGATTTCATAAGAATGGGTAATGAGTCAAAAATGATATAATTCGTATTGAGAAAATATAGATCCCTATAGAAAGCTTGCATGATTTATATTCAAAGATCTTATGCGATTGTACTGGGCACCACACTCATTGCAATGATTCCACAATGTTCAGTTACCATGCTAGTTTAACAAATAAGTCAATTATGAAAAGAATCAGTTTCAGTTTGAATATAATTTATTATACGTTACCTATATCTGCTTCCTACATAAAACAGATATTGTCAGACATAATAAATAAATAGCATTATGCAATAAAATATTCTGTCGTTTCACACATTACCTGTAAATTTCTACATTTGACTTGTCAATAGAGGTATTTTTACCTACATCTTTCATAACATCAGGATTATTAGAATTTTGTGAATTTTATTTTTCACATTTAATAAATGGAAAATACATTTTAGTGGAGCATAAAATAATGTCCAAAGGGCGTAATTCCTTGGATCAAAAGACATTTATATTCAATACTATGTTTTGAACATTCCAAATTTTACTTGATTGAAGTGGATTTTCAAGCCTCACAATCATCTGCTGTCCCAAGGGATATGAACTACATTTTACACAATTATAATTTTTCTTTAGCAAAGTTTAGAAATGTCTCACCTTAAATGTATACACACTTACTTATTTGTTGAAATATTAATTGTTCTGAAATTTCAAATCCACATTTCCGTTCCTTAATTGAACTTAAATTGAACTGAGACGATCTTAACAAAGGCATTTCCTGAAGTTTGTCTCAAGGTCGTAACTCATTAAACCAAATACAACATTCAGATAAACAGGTCTTAATTGTTTATTTAGTCGTACAACCACTTGACAATAATTACTCTTAGCTAAAAATTTAGTAGAGCAAACTACATAATCTGGGTGAAAATTATTGGAAACATGATTTTATAATAAACAGGGATATGCTATAAGCCAGATGAACTATATTAGGTTGTCAGTTAATAAGGATGCACAATACAAGACAGAAAGTGGGCATTGAAAATTAGAGGTTAATTATCATATAGTATGATCATTTCTACATGGACATTCGATGTTCCATTCTTTTTACATGTATATGAGTAAACTGTTTTTGGCAAAACCAATAAAAATGTGCAGGCCTGTAGATATTGGATCCAATTATAAGCATAGCATCAACATCGACCAAAAAATAAAAATATTTGATGGGCTTTGCCCTCTTGGCCCAATGCATCTGTTAAAGACTTCCCAGCTAGGCAATATCCCATTCCGATATCTGTGCCCCCTACCTCACAAATGCATGGCCATGAAATGTGTCCCAAAGACGCTTTTGCCACAGATGTATGTAGAAACCTTTTCCTGGATTCGGTCCTCTAGATGAACAACAGATAGTCCCAGCTGATCATGGGCAGCACATGGTGCATTATAGTCATACTGTAGTAGCTTATAACCTTTGCAATTTATTTTGATCTGAAAGATGTGACTTAAAGACAAAACTTTCAGAATATCTTCAATTTTATTTCAGCCTTTAATAGTTAACAATGAGACTTTTATATGTGTCTATAACTGTAAAGAATGATATTAGAATCTTATTTTAGCGGGGTAAGTTCATTAGTTAAAACAGTGTTGGTACATGTATCTATATTTCAACTTCCTGGGTGCTATTAACCCATGACATGTTACTTCTAATTAACATCAGACAAACTGTAATTGCCTAGACTGCCAATATCAATAAAATATCTTAACAGGAAACTTTTATCTTAACTTTCAGCATAAAAAAAATGTTTTATAGGTTTGAAAGTTGGGTTGTATTACGAATTATATATTTTTTTCTAATTTGTTAATATGTGACCCGTGCTGGCATAATGAGTCGTAATAAAGGAATTTTGAAATTGAGTTAATGTTGTTTTCACATTCTCCAATTGAATACCTTCAAAATGATGTATGGTTGGTTTGATTCAGACAAAAATTGGCTGAGCTGTGTCCGTTTGAAGCTGCCCAAGTCAGAAAAATAAGTTTTGAGAAATATTGGTAAGTGCCAAAACAAAATCAGGCAATTTATATACTATTTTGTTGTTTAACTCTTAAACGACCCAGAGGTTTGACGTCATAACGTCATAAAAACCCACGTCATAATGTTCAATAGTATTAAAATATAGATATGCATTTTAAAGTCATATCATTAATAAACAACTGTAGATAGACCCTTAATGTAAATGGATGAAATAATCTTAATTTAATGCCATTTTCATAAATGATTTATGAATGCGGTACTCTCACAAAATGCCCAAATAGTGTTTCAAAATGTTTTAACACTATTTTGATCTTTTAGCTTGATAATTTCGACCAAAATCAATAGTTTCGCCTGTTTTGTCTGTAGCTCAATATTAGTTTTTGTGTATTCCAACTAATTTAACCAGCACGGGTCACATATATGAAAATGAAATTTTCTTGAAAGATAACAGTGGTATGTTGTTTTTGTCAGTTTTCCAGGAATCAAGACATCTTGGACCAGTATTACCAGCTATTTCAAACATGAAAATAATTAATAGCCATATAGTACTGGGTGAACCGTTTGTATCTTTTGTGGATAGCTGCATAGATACTCTGATTTCTGTATTGTTTTATATATACTTTAAGAGTATGTAACATTGGTTTTGGATTGGGAGTGATTAAACCGCACAGATACACCAAGGTTTTAAAATGTGATTAAATCTGCCAATCCATCACTGGGGTATATATGTTGTAACACTCATTAAAAGTCGTACACATGCTGATACTCATATACACATGTATTATGTGCTGAGCAATCTAGGATTGTCCCTTTAATGATGAAGAGGTATGTGTTTCTGCTAGCCCACATAAACCCACACACATACAGGTACAATATTGTGCAATAATCTATAAATAGAACTCAGTAAATCAATCATTTCTTACTAGATTGTACATTAAGCAAAATCACTGTTATTTAAAAAACATTTTGGTCCAAATACTATTCCAAATCAAACAATTCTAACTCAAGTTATGGCTATTTCAGGTTTACATTAGTTTTTATTAATTTCACACCACCATCTTTATCTCTCTTAGACAAATAAAGTAATAATAATTGCGCTATCTTTTTTTTGTCTACAAGATATAGCTCATTCTACATGAATATCTTTTTCAGCTCAGATGTGCTTAATGACATAATAACAATAGTCTTAACATTAAAATAGTACATTCTTTTGAATTTTAACACATACTCTAAAAGAATGATTTAGCTTGTTGCACCTTTAACCAAAATTAATTACACAGTTTACAGAGCTGTGATAGACCACTTATAAAACAAAGTGTTAGCTTTCTGGCTAATCTCAAAGTATTATTCTGCTTCACAAGTGTAGGTGTACTGACACCAAAGACTTCAAAGGGATCACGTGGCTAAGTGGGTAAGACGCTACCTGGAGGTCGGGTGTTCGATCCCTGCATTGGCCGAGAAAGTTCATCCAGATTTTCCGGCGTGGTTCTCCCTTGTCAGTGATGCAGGACGGAGGGGCTGACAAGGAAAGTTGTCTAGTCGTTCGGATGGGATGAAAAACCGAGGCCCCGTGTACACATTGGCGTGCATGTAAAAGATCCCTTGGCAGTTGGAATTCGATATAAGAGTAGGCCGTAGTGCCTCTGTCCGGACAAAATTTCCTTCATAGCACACTGTATGGCGTATGCCCGTCTTCATTAGCCCAGGTTAGGAGCAGAACAGTAGGACGTTAAACTCCATTTCATTTCAAAGCCAACTCAATAGGGCATAAAGAATAACACATATTTTACAATTCCTGTAGCTTTATAAAGTAATACATATATTATATATTCCTGTAAAGTCATCATTAAAAGATTTTATTATCTGGACACCTTTATGTATACCTCTATAAACATATTATATGTATGTGTATGTGACCCGGTGTTATTTGGAGGGGTCAAAAATTCTGGCCAAATTTAACAATGAATATAGATTGAAAATAATACTTTGGCCTGAAATATCTTTGATTACAGTCCGTTATTTTTGCCTAAAAATAGTTTTTTTTATAATCTCCAAAACTGTTTGACCGCCCCTTGACCCCTGCCTAATTACACACATCATTATATTCATTTAATTTACACTGTACTATACCTTACTTCAATCATTCAAAAGGGAATGTTTTTGATGTTCAGTAGCACAATGGATATATTTCTCTGCATATAAAACATTACTAATGGAAAAATTTTTTTTTCCTTTTTCAAGGTTTACAGATAATAAAAAATAAATAAAACAATCAAATAATATTAAATTTTTGGGGGAATAAACTTGTCAGATTTCAAAGATTTTGAATAATAATAAGTTATACACATTTTAGTTGTTCGGGACATAAACCAAGGTCCTGTGTACACACTGACATGCACATAAAAAAAGGCCTTGACAGTTGGAATTGGAAATAGGAGCACCGTAGGCCTTAGTGCCACTGCTTTAGGAAAATTCCCCTCATCGATATTGCATGGTGTATAATCTATGCGAATCTGCAATAGCATTAGCCCCGATGGAGATGGAAGGTATTTCATTTTATAGAATTTATCAACAAACCACTTTTGACTAATGTTTTATTTCAATAATTTTAGGTTGTTCTATTTGTAGTAAATTGAAATAACAGGATTCCATATTAAAACTTGAAAATACTTAAAATGGAATTCAAATAGCAAAAATCAAGAAAGTAGATAAACTTGTGATCTACACTGCACGTGGGATTTTGCATTTAATACATGTAAGGTTGGAGGTCCTCATTTTCAATTACGGTTGACTAAAATACAATCAATATTAATTCTTACCGAGTCTTCTTTGTCTGCCAATTCATTTTCCTTTGATGATAATTTCCATCGTTTTTCTCGTATATGAATTCTTCTTGCCATTTTTATCTATAATCTTGCACTGCAGATCTGACATCAAATAGTTCTACCTGTTCTCAGTTTTTGTCAAGTTCACACAAGCTTTTCATAATTACGCCTCCTCAAAAATGGCAGACATCTACGTAACACTGATTAACGTTGTTCACTGTTTCTGACGAAAACTTTCAACTGATTAAATTAATACACTTGACTTCTGCGACTTTAAACATTTTCCCGCCTTTTTATCACTTAGCGTGCTTGAAAGAATTACTGTCCTTACAGCTGTCACTTGATCTCTGCAATATCATCACCAAATCATCTGTACCAAATACATGCGGGTGTTTTCGATCTACTCGACCCGATCGTAGGTACTACAACTCCCGATTACAAAAACATTAATTGAAGAAGAACCATGAATGAAATTCCATATGAAGGTAAATACTTTTGCTCTGATCAAAAAGGTCAAGAAAGTTTTGTAAGGTCACCACGGAAGGAAACTATCTCTCCGAGTTAAATCTCAATATCGCTTAAAGTCGGGTCCATTGTGAGAATTGGAGTGGTTAGGTTGAAGAACAGGTTGCCTTCCAGATAAAACGCCGTTGTTATCATATAATGTTATTAAAGCGATTATAAGATGGTTGTGAAACACATTAACATTGATTCTGTGAGAACATCAAATGTTAGTTGGGTGGCTGGCAAAGGAAATAGTTGGTCTCTCCTACGCTCAAACGGCAGCGTCTGACCTTACATCCCTCACGATAGAAAATGCAGCGATCAACTTGAGTGAAACTTGATCTGTTAGTACCGGTGTTACGAGGAACCAGTAACCTGGGTCGAAAACAATAATTCACTCCAAAAGAACGCCTGCTTTTCATTTATAGGCTACTAGATTCTGGGCTAATTTGTCTAATTGTATCTTTAATATTCTCATCACGACAAACAAAAATAACACGCAACACACGCGCTATATAATATTGTGCCAAGAATACCCTTAGCCTATGAACCAACCCATATTATTAAAGTACAGCCGAGGTGGGAGAGAGGCCGGATATATTTTAATCAGGACAAAGAGACTTGACAAAGAAAGTAATTTAAAAACTTATTCTTTTATAAAATTAGTAATGGTAAAGCTGGATACACAAATGTAACGAAAGGGAAGAAATGGAATCTAACATCTCGACATCACAATTCTTCGGCCATTTTCATTCTAAGTGTGTAGAATTTCGATCGGACTGCGACTTTTCCGCCTACACATTTTTTGAATTTCGTTAATATTTTTCTTTTACCGAGGTCCTGTTTACACATTTGCGTACACGTAAAAGCCCCCCTCCCCCTCAATAATTTGGGCGCAAGTATACCCTTTTCTCTAGGTTATTGCACGCAAGTAACTATTCAGTTAGATACAGTGACGTTACTGGAAGAGACCTGATTTTAACATAGAAGTGAGACTTCTAGAAGTAAAACGTAGACTTTCAGAAGAAAAAATCCTGCTACGCTCTATACTGATACCTGGGTTACGAGCCCCCAGTTGCGAGGGTCGCGATTAGTTAACTTTACTGAGCAGTCGAATATTTCATTCCATCTCATTTCCGTTGTATCTATGACAGATCCATAGCTAATTAAAACACGGTGGGATAGAGTTTTTCTAACATTCTATTGCAGAAGCTCTACAATGGAAGGTCTCACGCGTACCAAAGTGAAACTCATCCAAACATAGTTTTTATCTCATGAATCGGACAAAAAACTTCATTCATATTTCACATTTTGCGTAAAAGACATTTGGCATAACTCTAGAACGGAAGGTCCGATGCGCACCAAACGTGAACTCACCCAACACTCATTTTAAGTTTCATCGAAATCGGATAAAAATTCTTACAATCTTGGTATTACACACCTTACACTATTTGCGTAAAGGGGAGTGGCCATTTGACGGGAAGTTTAGGTCCGATTTTCAGGAAATTCGGACCCAACCATAATATATTGTGGTGTGACGGTGATATATACTATTCAAAAAAAGTAGGGGATATTTGATTTTGGGGGCATAATACTAAAATATGCAAATGACTACGAAAAAAGTCACTATAGAACCTAACAGAAGAAACATTTCCAGTTACATGTGACGCCCAAACGCACCAATAGCTACCGCATGGAATGCAGGCGATGCTTGGGATCATCACGGGGGTCCAACCCAAGATTTGCACGACTCTGACTTTGAATGATACAGTCATTGTGGCATTGAATTCCAGGGTGGAAACATCAGTTTAATTGTTTTAGTGACCAGAAAACAAATTTTGATATGCGTCGGCTTACCCAAAATGAAAGGTTACATGCCCTTGGCATGCTAGAGATCGGCACAACACAGGCGGTTGTGGCGCGGACGATGAATGTTTCTCAGTCTGTCATAAGCAGGCTATGGTCCAGATGCCGTGATACACAATCTGTACAGGACAGACCACGCTCAGGTCGACCAAGGGCGACAACTCAAGCCCAGGATCGATTTATCCGTACCTTGGCCTTGAGAAATCGTGTCATCACAGCAAATCAGATCAGCGCTCGTCTTCAAACAGACACTGGTGTGAGAGTGAGTGGCCAGACGATTCGGAATCGACTGCATAGGGGTCACCTTCGCGCCCGACGTCCTCGCGTGATACCTTGTTTGAGAGATCATCACATTCAGGCAAGACGTCGTTGGTGTAGGGATCGTCAACACTGGGATAATCGACGCTGGAGCAATGTGATGTTTTCAGATGAGTCAAGGTTCACTGTTGATATTTTGGACAGACGTAGGAGGGTGTGGCGTCGTCGAAACGAGCGCTTCCAAGACGTTAACGTCATCAGACATGATCGATTTGGGGGTGGTTCTGTTATGGTGTGGGGAGGCATCACTGTTGCTGGAAGAACGGCTTTACATGTTGTTGCAGGGCGTGTTACAGGCCAGTACTACCGGGACAACATCTTGGCAGTCCATGTTGTGCCGTTCGCACGACGTCATGGCCGCCGTTTCATCTTCCAGGATGACAACGCAAGATGTCACAGGGCCAGGATCGTTACAGGTTACCTCCAACAACAGAACATCACCACATTACCTTGGCCAGCACTGAGTCCCGACCTCTCCCCCATCGAGCATGTCTGGGACATGCTTGGACAGAGGTTACGTCAACGTCAACAACGTCCTGCCAATGTCCAAGAACTTGCTGCTGTGTTGCAACAGGAATGGGACAATCTGGACCAAAATGACCTTAGACGTCTCATTAGGAGTATGCCACGTCGGATCAATGCTTGTTTGGCAAACAGAGGAGGATTTACCCGTTACTGACTTGATTGTGATGCTGTGACCCCGGGTATCATTTTACCCTTATAATGGTCAGTCTGTGCCTTACTTAGTCTAACGATCATTTGGAATAAATCGATGAATGTGAACTTCATTTCATTTTGTCATTTGTTTCTTCGTCAGTTTCATTAGGTGACTTTAATAACACTTAAAAATCAAATATCCCCTACTTTTTTTGAATAGTATATGTGAACGATTTTGAAAATAAGATAAAAATTGCTACCTCTAGAGGATCCACAAGTTAAAAACGTGATTTTTCGTACAATCACGTCAATAATCCAGAAATTTACGACCCGATAAACGCAAATCGTAAATAAATTGTGACCTCCCAGCCACACCATGCGATAGAGCGCGTTCGGGATAGTTCAAGGATGGCTGAAAAGGCTAATGCATGTGTAGATTTGTCTGAATAATATAAAATTGCCGATTGCGCCAATGAGTTATTTACACCATAGACCGTATTTCAGGGTGCAATGTAACACCCGGAAGTTAGAGAATGAGGGTTAGGGTATGGTTTATTAACAACTTTGATTTTTATTCGAGTTTTCTTGGTGAATTTGCGTTCGGGTGCTGGTTTAGACTGTGGTCGCGACCACAGTTTACATCCGATGGTCGCCCTAAGTATTATATTCTTTTACATTATTTGCGTAAAGGGGAGCGACCATTTGAACTTTGAATTTGTACTCGTAATGGTGTAACTGTGATATATTTGAACGGTTTTTACAATCAATAAAAATTGTGAACTCTAGGGTGCCTACAAGCTATGAATTATGATGTGAGTTTTCGTACAATCAGGGCCATAATCAAAGAAGTTACGGTTATAAACATACATTGTAAGTTTCATCAAAATCGGATGAAAACTGTGACATCTAGAGTGTCCACAACCATGGTAATAATATTATGTATAATATATTTGCCCGGTTCAACATCACAGGAAATCACCATGGGCTGCAGTGCTTTCGTGGTAAGGGATTAAAAAAACCCATAAAAACTTCATTGCTGAGTAATTTTACAATCTCCGACGGTAGCCCCCCCCCCCCCCCCCGCCAATCAAGAATTGCTTCCGCCGACCCTCAGAATAGTCCTTAGTTACGAGAGCACATTCATATTTCACAACGTAGCCGTCCATCTTGTATCGCGTCGATCTTAGCACCGACCCGTCAGATAGTTGCATATAATATTTCTATAATAATAATTGTTTATTGATTATGCTTATTGTAAAGACTAGTAATTCATCTTGATTGTTATATTAAATATGTCGGTTTTTATACGCCCATATTGAAATGTGGTCGTATATTGTCGTCGGCCCCGTCCGTCCGTCGGTCCGGCGTCCACAATTGCCTGTGGACGGACGCTCTAGAGACTAAAGTTAATTTCCGATTATGGTCATGAGACCGATTTCCGATAATTAATGCCAGAGTTATGGCCCTTGATCACTTTTAAAAATCTTCTTTTGGACGTTCTAGAGGCTAAAGTTAATATCCGATTGACTTTAAATATATACAGAGTGTTTAAGGTTAACAGGTCATGATTTTATATTTATACACCGTGTTTACGTGTATATATATAATTTTTTCGATTGACTTAAGGACTTGAGACGAACAAATATATTCATTGTCAATGTTTTTTGATAACTTGAACAGCTAAATATTTTGTATACTAAACGTTAGCATTGGCCAAATCCAATGATTTTCTGATAATTACTTAATGAGTTGTTACTCTTTACAGATTTTAATGTATTATAAATGTTTCATTACCGACAAAAGTAAAAATATGCGAAAACTCTTGTTGAGTGCCCGGACGATTTAGTATGTTTCGTTGCCTGGCAACGTATCTTTAATATGTTTTATGGCCGAGGGGGGAAATAGTTCAACTGGATTATATTGTTACCTATTACGTATTGAATAGTTACGCGTGGTATGGTCACATTTAATAGAATTACGCTGTTCAATAGTTATTGACCATTTTGTCTGTTTATAATCAATATTTTTGTTGTACATCTCAAATTATTCCTGGCCAAATTTAAGTAATCTGAAACGATAAGATCCCGACCGCAGTTGCCTTTCTCACGACACACAGTTGGCCACTACCCGGGCCCTATCACATTCCGAAATCTGCCCCCCCCCCCTCTATTATTAGTTGCCTGGGGCTCTGTCTGCTTCAATTCCAGCACAGACAAACATAATTCTGTTCATTGTTTAGATACTTGATGTTTGAAGGTTTAAAGATACATTATTCAAGGGCTAAATTTGCCTATTGCAGGTCTTTCTTTAGGCCTTAAATGTTGTATAAATTATTATTTAGACATGTATGACAAGACCATAACCGAGATTTTAATTAGATTAGAACGGTTCGGCCATTTAATGACTTAATTTAAAAATGGAGAAGCAAGACTAAGCCTCGAATGTACCAGTACCGTGGTTATGATAATGCACACATCTTGTCAAAACTACAAACAGTGATAACTTGGCTCAGAATAAAGTAATTTGAATGAAATTTTCGATATATTCATTTTGCATTATCT